ACCCGCTAGATCGCTAGATTTTGCTGCAGGTGCTATATGTAAATGAGTTTAAATCTAGATGAACCAAAGCAGTTATCTCTCAGGTAAATAATATCTACATAGCCCCCCCCCCCAAAAACGTGAACAAGAACTCACCCAAATGATGCTGCTTGCCATATTATAAAGCTGATTTCTTGCCAGGCTGTCCACAAAGTTGAACAGGCTCTAGGAATATTGAAGTTCACAGCAGAGGCAATGGTTTCATTTAATTCGGTGTAAAAAGGATTTGGTACGTGGTGAGGAAAATATTTACTACATATGTATTATGTTCTAGCTGATATATTCGTATATACATTTATATATTATCTAGCTGATACTGTATTTTTGCTCAGTGTTTTTAAAGTTCTTGATTAAAGGACTGTCAAACCTTTCTGAAGAAATATAAAATGTAAAAAAGCTATTTTGTGCTGAACATCTTGTGCTATACGTGTCCGAGAAGAAAGACTTTATCTAAAAAGCGTTACTGTTTTACAAAACTGTAATTTTTCACTATTATAATAACATACATTGGTTACAGATCAAATGCTCTTTCTGGTAGATGCGATACGACATTATTGCAGTACACATTGCAGAGGCAATGTAATTTCAGCCCACCCAATAGCTCCCTATGGATAAGGAGATCCTCCACTTCTCCTCTTTCAGGGTGTCTCACACCTGCACTGTCTGCATAAAGATTGTGTCACTTCTCATATTCATGTTCCTTTGGCTCAACAAAGGGTGTGAAGACCATCTGCAGCGCAAGGGCAGAAGCAGGACAGCAGAGGAACAAGAAGGCCTGCAGACAGACACGGGGCTGTTTCATTGAAGGTAAGTGACAGTAACGTGTTGTAACCCATGACCTCACCTTTAGAATAATTAAATTCTACGGCAACAGGTAAAGCAAAGCTATCAAATTATTTGAGAAAGAAATTAACAGGTCTTGTGCAAGTGAGAGGACGAGCTTCATCTTGAGAAACAGGCTTGTACGACGACTCAGTCCTTTCACCCAAGCTCTCTTCATTGGCACTCTAGTTCTTCTATAATCGTCAACCTCAACAGGGTGCTGACCTTTCCTTCGAACCGCCTACCCACCAATGCCAGGGGGCTTTGAAAGGGCGCCGTTACTAGACAACGGTGCTAAGGGTTACTGTGCATGACACTGGTTGGAAATATGCTACTGTACAGTTTAACTGCAAGTATAGCCCACAACAGACAGATCAGCAATGTGGTAGGAAACGGTGGTTCAAGTTTTTTCTGCTTTTTTCCCAAAACAAACAACTGGTTTACATCTACAGTTCACTGCTGTATGACTGAACAGGTGCTGACACCCATTGTCAGCAAGAAGAAATATTTCTCAGGTAAATTAAGCCTTTTAAAAAAAGTACTTAATTTCTATTGCTGACCGAAGAAATATCATTTCGGTATCATTTCAGTGTTTATATAGATACAAGTCATTTCAGCACCACAGTAAATTTGGGATTTTGCTTCCTTCCACGCTAGCAGCTTTCATCATTTCAGGTTGTCAAAAGCAGTACCTCGCAGAACACGAGTGGTAGGCAATTAGCAACGTGCACAAACACACATCTTTGACAAGTTTCTAGTGCAGATGGGCACATGGAAGCTAAACACCTACACACCACTGAAAAACCCTAAACCCTATAGATCTGTTCTTCTCAGAATGCCTTGCAGTTAATGTAAAACAAGTTAATCCATCATACTGCTGCTTTAGCCACCCCGAGCCTGTTTAAATCAAGAAGTGAAGGACAAGATGAGTGTAATTTACAGTAAAGAAATCTTAATACTAAGTTAATACTAAAATCCCACCACCAAACCTGAGGAAAAGTAATCTTTGCATTCCTTGTTTCAACTTTTAGGTACAAAACAGGTAAGCAGTTTCATGCAGAAGAATCTTTCCACAGGCATATAGCTATGTCCGTACAAATATCTGAGAATTCATGAGCACTGTGTTTCCAGGAGAACCAGCAGATGACACGAGTGTTCATTCTCAACAGAAGAGGGGATCAAGCTTGCCAAGACCTCAAACTTCCAGCTACTGCAATTTAAATTTCTGGTTTTAAATTAACTGTAATAGCATTTCAAGAGGCAACTTGCTTTAGAAGGATGCTTTGGAGATTCGTAGCACATCCCTCCTCCTGGCAGAAATCCTTAGTAGCTGTGCTGGGAGTACTGAAGGGTCACAGGAACACAAGAAAGTCATCCAAAATTAAGACAATGAACAGCAAGGAAACCTACTGATTTATTACTGAAAACTTCAGAAGGCAAGCAGTGACAACAGAAGATTTAACAGTGCCATCTTAAATACTCTCCAGGCCCTTGAGCTTTGGATCTAAACCTTACTCACTTCTGTTCTATTTCTCAGCAAAGTTATACGAGTTAGTTTGAAGATTTACTGATTTAAAAGCCTGGATGTGCAGATAAGGCAAAACATGAATCCATTTAGGCAAGCTGAAGCAGGCAGGGATCCACGAGACCACTCCACCTCTGCCCCTTCCGCTCACCCCTGCTCTTTTTTTTTTTTTTTTCTTCTTTCTTACTGGTCCTTCAGGTTTGTCCCTCCAGCTGTAGCTCCTTACTCACCTCCTCCCCCCCACCAGAACCCACCACTTCCCAGCAGTGCCTCAGGTCCCCCCCGGCAGTGTCAGTGCGCTCATCCATAGCGGCCATCGTGCCGCCGCCTCCTGCCACGGGACAGCACGTACTTCGTACCTGCTGCACACAACGTCCCCCACTCCCCATCAAGCAAAGCTTCTTTGGGTGCAGCCTCCCGTTGTGAGAACTGGGGGTAAACAGAGAAGCCATTACAGGACTGTTTAGACCCAAACATTTTGTTCTCTTCTGCTCTTAACAACAGCGAGCAGCAGACTCCAGGCGCAGAGACACATTCCTTAACAGGTAACTGCAGCATACAACTCTCAGCCCAAGTAAACAGAAAGTCCTTCCCCAGGGTCCAGCAAACTGTGAAATCTGGTTGCTAGTTAACGTGTCAGGTTTGCAGAAAAGCAGTTAGGAAGAAGCAAAGAAAGAGCCCGTAGCTGTAAATGGGCATTTTAGGATATACATTTCAATAAAAGAAGCTATTAACTCCAGAGTATTTCTTCACCTTCACCCTCCTCGTTTTAGGTTACTCACCTAAGAGTTAAAAAACCCAAATACATCAGAAAGTTTCAGGAAGTCGTCATAACTCAAATAAAATTTTATTTAAAAAGCGCCATGTACAGAAAGCCATACTCCCTGACAGAATGAGAATGCAGGCATATAAATAAAACAGAAGAAAATAATTATCTTTCAAGAAGTTGCTGAATGCTTGCAAAAATTAAACAGTAAGTTTTTTTCAGTGCGAGGGAAAACTGTTGAGTTCATACTATGCAGTCCTTAGTGCAGAAAAATTAGGAAAAGAAAAAAGATCAACTTTGAAATGCCAAGTGACGCTAATGGCTAAAGAAACATTTAAAATCAATTTAAAGCATTGAATTTTTATCAGAAATGATGGTACAGTTTTACAGACATTTCACGTAGACTTTTTAAATTTAAATGCTATTTCAGTTGTTATAACCTCCTGTAAAAGCCTGGCAAACTTTGTTGATTTCAATTTATTAAGACAGTCTTGAACCATTTTTAGAAAAATATTTAGAATAGTTAAATTTTTAAAAGTTATATATATACACACCTGTTTTTTTCCCCCTACACAAATCTTACAGAAGATTGTGTTCCCATGTGTTTACCACTTAAAACAAGCTCTGGTTCTCCATATAGCAGACACCATTCAACAGGCAATTCTGACACTAACAGAAATGGCAAGCAACGCAAAATGTGCCGGAACAGGTGACATTACAGTTCTTAAAGTCTCGAAATTACTTGTAAGCCTAGAATCAAGACTGCAGGAAAAGCCGCTGGCACCAGAGTACAAGCGTCAGCTAATTCGGGACTGTGCCTTTCCGTTTTCCCTTCACACTAAGGAGCCTCCCGGGACAGACAGCCCCTGCTGAAGCCTGCAGGACCACCAGCAGACCGGGGTGCCCTGTAAGGAAGGATGTCAAGGTCTGACCTTTAAGTTCCCACAGTTAATGACTGGTGACAGTACCAAGAATCTACAGCGAGTACCAAGAGACAAACACAAACTGTAGAAAACTTTTTATTCTCAAGGTTTTCATTTGAAGAGCCTTGTATTGTGAGCAAATTAGTTCAAAAGGTAAAGGAACTTCTGGAACTTGGAACACAGTTTAAATTAAAGGAAAACACAATATGCAGTTGATGTCATAGGTTATTTTTGGAGCATGATAAAGTTCATGATTATATCATTAACATCCTCTAATATTACTTCCTCTTCTGTTTAGGTATCTCTTTAGCCAACTTTACAAAGGTTTTTCAGCCCTTTAAGTGTTCTTCGAAATTCTGATGTGAACGCCTACTATTCTTAGATGCCCTAGCAGCTTGCAGGATTTTAAGGCTCTATGCTTATTGTACCCCTTTATTTAATGGGGTTTTAGAAATGGAGATACTTATTATAGAAGTTGAAGATAAAATTTTAAGTTACTGCACACCCAGCTCATTAATGTCACATTTAGGAATAGAATTTAGGTCTTAGTAAGTAAGAAACACTTTGTACGTTTTACCTATACTGACTGAAAAACAATTTGAGTACCATGTTAGCTCAACCAGTTAAACAAGTTAAAAATCTTATCAAAAAATATTTTGTACAATCTTTTGTATTTCAAGCATCAAGTAATAAACTTTCTATTAAACCAAGTTGTATCACACAACTATCAAAAATTAACAAACAGAACAATGCTGGAACAAACCATTCTGCTTAATTTTGGGCTTGGTCCCAAAAGAGGTAGTCCATAAGTCACACAAAAAGAAAAATTCCACAGAAGTTAACCTAACGTGCCAGTCTCCTCCACCATATGCAGCCTCATCGATAAATGAGGCAATTTCATATCTGCAAACATTATAAGTTAGTGTTCATGTAAATACAGAAACTATACTTTTTTAAAAAAAATTAATTACTACTTCATCTGTAACCGAAATTCGGTTCAGCTGAACCAAAATATTGACTAGGCTTTCCACATCAGCCGCATTAGTAACAATTCAGCTTTTCTCCAGATTAAATTTGAAACATGCCTAATGTGCAGGTATGCCTTTAAATAACAAAGGATACACTGTTTAGGTTCGGAGAGAAGCTTCAGGTTGTTAAACCTCGTTAGTAATGCAGGTATATTTACTATCATTTCTCTACAAATGCTGCTGCTGCCATTGAATTCCTCATGGTTCCTCTTGCTGAAGCCGTGAACTCTTCAATTTCAGCATTTAGTCTATTAATTACCCATTCCAATGCTTCCCGGCCCTACAGTTAAAGAAAAGTTCATCAGTGTATGTATCCTGGTAAATAAGTAAATAGGTTAAACCCTGTCTTAATGAAAATAACTAAAGACACAGGAGTTGAAAAAGGACGAAAAGGTACAGAAATACATGCTTCTGTGATATTTTTTACTTCAATAACCAGAGTACCGCAGGAACATGTACTGCCTTACATTTCATGAAAAAATTCCTTATGTCAGCAGTGCTCACATTATGAGCCACAAAAGACTTTTTATCCAGACTGTTTTATCATTCTTGAGGCTGAACTCGCAACATAGTTGGATTCCCAGAGGACAGACTCTCAACTAAAACACCACTTTATTCCTCCCATAACCACGTCGGGTCTGTCTGGATGTATATCCTTTTTCAACAGGAAAAACAAATAGATGGCATCAAGAGGGCAAGAGTGGCAGCACCAGACTGTTAAGTGAGCGGAGATGTTTATTCCAGAAAAGATTCAGAGAGCTTTGCCAATAATAAATTATCATCTCCACTCACAAGAGGAAAAAAAAGGAGGGAGTTCGGCAAGCTGAGCATTCAGTCTGTGCAGTAAAGGCAGCAGAACTATGCAGACCCTTCCTAAGATTGCTGACAAAGCCAAAAAGTAAAATAGAGATTTTTGTTTCCTTTACCACTTAGCTGGTGGTCACACATTTTACACAAGGGTTATACTTACTTTATTAGCATTGGAAGAAATTGTGTTTGCCATTAGCCCTTCTAGGTAGCTGCTGAGACTGACACCTTTCACAGATATTATTGCTTCTTGTGTCAAAATGGTTCTGAAACAGAGAGCAAGAAACTGAATTATTCTGAGTAGTTTAAAAAATAATGCACTGCTGAAAGAAACTTGCTCCTCCCCAACAAGTACATACCGTCCCCAACTTCGTTGTACGACACAGAACCTCTGGCCCCATAAACACAACCCTCTCCCACAGTGCTTAACTGCTTTATGCTTCTGCTCGTAAAATAAAAACCAAGAGTGCTCGCTAAGTCCAAGTGTCCCTTTATGGCACTCAACTATTTCTAATTTTAGCAGCAGCAAGTTAAGAGTGGAAACAGCGGATTTGGAGTGAAGGTAACTTGGAAAACAGTATTAACACATCCCCTTCAACAACAGGGATTTCACATTTCTGACTGCCAAGAGAGAAAGAGCCTCTTGTGCCAGAATCCCTAGAGAGATCCTTCAGAATTATCACCAGTTCCAGCAGTACAGACTCGGTAAGCTCTCAACTTGCCTTAAAAAAACCCCTAAACACCAAAACCCAAGCCTCCAAAATTAAAGGCAGATAAATGTGCCTCCTAGTGCAGGTTCTGTGCTCAGACTGCTGCAGAGATCAGAAATAAGGAGGGGACAACTGAAGACGCATACAAAGTCAGTTACGGACAGCACACAGGGCAACTGCCTGTTACCATAACAGAGGTGATGTCAACCTCATCTTGTGTTCAAGGGAAGCCATGGAGATTTTCAAAGCCAAACACTGCAGTACTTCAGGGCAATCTCAGAAGAGAGAAGTACTCACTTGTCTGGGTCGTGAGGGTGTGGTTTATAGACAAGCCTCTCGTCTACTGACACTAGGTTTGTAAAGGAAATCTGCGGAATACAAGACAAGATTACTCCTTGATAAAAATATTAAAGGAATGCAGTAAATAAAACTGCAGATTCAAAACTAATGCTTATATCTGATTTAAACACTACACTTTTTCTGCAAGTATTAGGGTTGTAGACCAAGACAGAGAAATCTCCAGGTTCCGCACTTCCTGATCTAGTTCTTTTTCCTGAAGTTTCTGGACCATTCACCAGGATACACTACCACATTTGTGAGAACACTTCAACAGCGATTAGACTGATGGAGGAGTACAAAGAGCAAAATGTTACATGATAAGGAAACGGTGACACGTGTACATTGAATTGCTTTGAAAATTTTTTTCTTAACGCCCCTACCCCCAAAACTAGTCCTGTCCTGCTCATCAGTACGTCCAGGTGCTTCGGTCCTGACAACTTCCAAAAACCCAGTACTTCCTTTCTGAAAAACAGGACCAGTCACCTATAGACACATTACTGAAACCTTCAACTTGTATTGTTCTAATGCAATTTTCCAACCATTTTCAAGATGACTTTCCTTTTCAAATTTACAAGGATTTATTACAATCTATGTCAATGGCATGAAGAAGCTACTTACATTACTGGATTTAAGCTCCATTGTTTTTTCCACTGGGTCAACCACAGAGTGCTCCTGAACATACGTCTTTGTTCTGCACGTGCCAATGAGCTAGACGACAGGCAAACCCATACAGAATTAATTACACTAACCAACTGCAATTTTTTAGTGCCTTTAAATGTGCAAGTAGTTGTTATTGTATTGAACAGACACCGAGACAACAGAATTAGGGCTTAGCTTAAAATAAAACTATTCACTTGAGGTAGATCTCATTTTCAAGATGGAAGCAATCCAAGACATAGGCAGCTTTTGTCTATCCGGAAGTCACAACATGTACTGCTGTTGAGCTTTCCTGTTACATAAACGCTTGTATTTTTAAACCATTAAAGTTTTGAAATTGTACAAGTCTATTACAACACCTGGTTCACCAGCTTCCCCTCCCTCCGGCATCCTTTTCAAGCTCCGTGATACAATACGTACCGATTTCACAATGGAGGGTATTCCCCACTCGGTACTGAGGAGTCTGTGGCTGTGCAACTTCCCACTAGGGTCTACATGTCTGTCCAGGACATCCACTCCAACCACGCTGGGGTTCATGGGATTTGGGTATTTCTGCATGGCAGCCGTCGTTACCGTTTCCCAGGGGTGACTGCCAAAACAGAACCAAGATACAAGCTTGTACATCTTCCTTTTTTAACAGGATTTCTATTTAAAAAGATAAATTGATTTCTATTTTTAAAGCAGTTCAATTTCCAGTTCTCAGGGTGCAAGTTAAGCATACCATGCATCTGATCAGGACTCCCAAGTTCAATTACCTTCCGGTTTACAATTTGATAAGAACCTTTTCCCTGCGACATAACGCTGAAAGACTACAATTTCTTCACGTTTCAGTAACACTTCAGAAAGCTGATACTTTCCTCTAACGAGTATTCCCTTCGGATTATTTTTCACCCCAGGTGTTTTGGAGCACCTCAGCCCCGAGAACACCATCCGACTCCTAAGCTCTGGTCAGTCCTACAGCTGGCAGGCGCGGCCAGCACAGACAAGCCCGAGC